ACGTGTCTGAAATCATATTCAATTTGCTGTGGCGGAGGCAGGGAAATTACTCCACTTGACCAGTCTGTATCCTTCTCTATCTGTGATGGTTCACATTTGGAGATAACTAAATCAAATCATTGTGAACTGCAATGAGATAAAGGACAATATACAGCTGCGTTTGATCTCAGCTGACATAATGAAAAATTAAAATATTCTGTTTGTAATACCCAAAAGAACCAAAAGACAAATATGCTGGCTTTTTATCTGCAGTTCTTTCATTCCCCCCCCCTCCCATTAACCCTAATTTCCATGCTGCTCTGCCACCAAGCAAATTTCCCTATTCAAATGGACCTTAATCCAAGGTGGCAGAGCGCAGCGTCCTGACCACTGACCTCCATACTGTCCTTCCACGTGGACCTGCTGACTCTCCGTCTACTGCACACAAGTCTCAGGCTCAGTTGACTTGGCAACACCACAGTTCCTTGTGACGGTGAGAGAGATTAAGTGGCCAATCAAGGCCTGAACAGTAGGGTAATCATTCCACTTGGTGAAATGGGTGTCAGGATTACTCCAGCACTTTCTCACTTCACTGTGCAGGCTTTAATAGGGCAAAGACATTTTTCGGTAACTAGAGTGCTGTGGGTTGGATTAAAAAACAGCTTTCTACTGACTGATTAATAATAAAGACTATAAATTGTGATTAGAGGCAAATGTAACCTTGAGGTTAGGGACTATACAAAAAGTATTAGGGGGGAGGAGGAGGGAGGGTCAGTAAAGGTGGAGTTAAGTATTATACATTTTATTTTTTCTGAAAGCAGACTATTCTTCCTCATTATGTTATCAAAAAACATAAATTGGACTAAAGTGCGTGTTCTAATAACATAATGAGGAAATTGCGTTTATACTGAAGGTCAGACTACAATGTTTTATTTGGTTTCCAAAATATGCAATAATATATCTAGGTGTAGCACCTACAGGTTTATTAAGGTTTTTTAATATTATGTTTACACTAACCTTAACCAAAGTGCTTTTTGCCTAACCACACTAACCATACCTAACCACAGACTTGGGATGTGAACCCTGGTCCCTAGTGTCGAGGTCCATCTCCCTTCGACTTCCGTGTGGTACATAATTTTGCTTTGTAAAATTGTTTATTCAGTCAAAAGTGCCTGGCATAATCCAGGCAGCATTTACACTTGTTACCACAGCTTCATTGGGAAAACAAACTGGTTATATGTAAACGTAATTACAAGGACAGAGGGCTGGGATTGGGGTGAAAATACTGTGGTGCACAGGCCCTTCAGCACCGAGCTGTGGCCTGTTCCCGGTTAACTCATATGGTGGCTGGTGGCTTTGTATTCAAAAATAGAAAGCTCCTGTATTTTCACTAATTTATTTAAACAGTTGCAATAAAATATATTAGGGGTCAAACATAATATTCAGCACCATTCCCCACCCTAATAATTCCCACATAGTCCCTTAGAAAATTGTCCTGGTGGCCAGAAGGCTTTTACATTGAATCCCCTGATCAACTTAGAATATCTCCCTTCCCTGAACTACTACTGAAGACGTGCTGCTGAGCAAGGCAGCTAACTCCCATTAGCTCTAACAGAGCTGCTTAATCTAAATGAATGTGGTTGTACTTGGCGTCTCTCAGCTATGAATAAATAGAGAGAAGTCAATATAAGGCAAGCTATCTCTGCAGAATGCATTCTCACTTGATTTCCCTGGATAAATAAAGGTTAAATGGAGGAATAAAAAATTAAAGTCCTTGCTGGAAGACAAATAGCTCTTTAATGTCAAGCAGACTGTGGCCCAATGCCTCATTTCTGGTATGATTGTTAAAGTCAATTCCCATAGACATGAGCGTAGGAGAAATAGAGAAAAGTATAAGCTATATTACTGCATGAGTCTGAGTCTGAGTCTACTGCATGTGTGGATGTGCACTAGTATGCTTGTCTTGTCACTCTCACTGTATTATTCTTTAGTATGTATGTGAGGAAGAAAACAGCACCATGCAGTTCTGGTGAGTTTAAATATTTCATTGCGGGGATGGATTCTGGAGCTGCCAGCCTTCCAGTTTGAGAGAGTAATGCTGCTCCTCGTCCTTATGTTCCACTCTGTTGAGTTAATGCAATATCCTCATATTACTGTCCTGTCTCCCCCTACTTACTTTCATTGTCCTCAATCAATATATTCAAGCATGGAATGCCTTTCATCTTCTCTGTGTCCCCACTTCTTTTTTACAAGAAGAAAGTAGCAGTGTTGTCCTAACCCTGTGGTTAACTTCTGACCCTGTTAGCTGGTGGTGTACCCTCTGGGTCTTTATTAAAGTAAACCAATCAGTCGAGAGGTTGGGTAGGAAAGCTCTCCGCCACCATTGGGAATGATTAAGATGACCTAGTGCCTCCTTTGCCAGGAGGAATTATATTGTGTAAATAGAGGGTATCCACATGGGTACAGGCTGTTACAGCGGCTAAGTTGGGTCAGGACTATTTTTTAGTGCAGTGTATCTTCAGCTTTAGGCGTTTATTACGTTTATCTGCAAGAACAGTGGTAATATTAGAATTAGTGTTCAGATGAACACCGGGATTAAATACCAAACTGCAATTTTCTCCAATCCTGTGAAATAAAGGATATTTTTACCTATTTAGGCCCTTTTAAATAATTATTGAAATGAAAATGTGGGGAAATTACTCTCTGGTGGAACTTTTCATAACTCATATGCAACCAATAATAAAGGTTTGCATATAGATTTTATTTAATTTTAATGGGTTAACAGTGACACTACACTGCCGTGATCAGACATTGCTGAGAAATTATAGCATGAACTGTGCAAATAAAATTAGTGAGCGAACAAGATAAAAATGACTCATCTCAGTTGGTATTTGTTACAGTGTCATTCATAAAGGTCTCTGTTCAAGTGATTCATATGGAAGCTTTTTAAAACCACACATTGAACACTGTTTCATGACCTTTCAGCTCAATAAACCAGAGTTACAGATCATTGAGGCAACAAGGTAAAGAGGTGGAATAAGGTTAACAATTGACTTTGGAAATATGACCTTCACTTTTTTATGAAGTGAAGGTTTAAGTATAAGGCCGTTAATACATGAAACTAAACAACCCCCCCCCCAAAAAAAAAAGATTGATTAGGGTTATTAAGACTTTTTGACAAAAATATCACATAGAACCTAATAATTCTAATCTTAGGAAAAGGGTATTATACCATATATGGTGTATAGGACCATTAATATCTTCCCAACAGAGCTTATCCTGCAACAGGTACAGCCAGAGGTAATTCTGGGAAAAGAGAACGGGCCGAGGTGGCACACATAACTTGGCATAGCACCACAACATTTGTGTCCCCAGGCTACAGCTGGCAACCACCCCCACATTACCCGTCACATCTGCAGTGTAGTCAACCACTGCCCATGCAATCATTGCTTGGCAAGACGATTTACTCACATGTGAACATGGAGAGAGTGTATGTGAGCTCGAGGGTTTTTAATTAACATTACGCAACAGTTCAGACATGGAGCACATCATACCCACAAACACATGCCTCGTCACATGTGTATTCGGGCATGTATGCATACATACATACATACATACATACATACATACTGTATGTGCGCTGTTGTCCTTTACCAATGAAAATGAAATGCCTCTCGAGCCTGGCAGACAGCACGGCTGACTTTCAAGAAATTCCACAAGCGAGTGCTTTCTGGAACTAAACGGGTGCAGCAAATCCTCTTAAAATCCTTTTAGACACCGTGGCAGCAGGGAGAAAAAGAAAAAGTTTCTCCCAGGCAAACATGTGCAGGTTTGTTGGGTTGATGTTGTGCTCTGGGGAAGGACACTCTCGCCAGTTTATTTCTTCAAGGCTGAAAAAGAATGTTAATATGACACATACCCTACAGGATGCGCAGGAGCACAATATGGTGGCATGGCGTGTCTGTCGACAGCAGGCTTCCAGGAAAGACTTGAGGGAAAATGAAGCTTTGGATGTGTACGGCTTAATTTTTCGATCCAAAACTTCAAGAGTGTAGTGCTTTGCACATTCTTTTGTGTTGTATTAGGATAGTAGAGGGGAAATTTAAAGTTTCACTTTGAGCTGCCAACATGCCAGTGACCTGGACAGCTTGCATATAAGGTTCTTCTCTACACAAACAATAGTAAACAACTAAAATCAGTGTGACTATCTACTCAGGGCAGTTTTACTTCAGATGAAATTCTTCAGCGGAAATTAAGTTTTAAATGTTTGTCAACAAGTGCCAGCCAATCCAACCACTATGTCTTTAGGCTCTCCAATTTCCTGAAGTTTCTATAAAACTAGTTTCCTCGCTCTGATTGCCATTTACATATTTGGTTAAATGAGCATGGGATTGGGCTCGGTGGTTTGTTTGTCGATTTGCTCTTTGCTTTCCTATCTCCTTTGGGCAACAGATTGAATTAATGTTTGTAGACACTGTGATGCCACACATGAGGAAACAGGAGATCATGCAAAATTACAAAACTCTCCCAATTACAGCTCTACAAACACATAAGACTCAAAAAACACAAAAAAAAAAACTCATTTGGATCTCATTATAGTTGTGATGCAGATTTTTCTTGTGTCAGTGACACAAGGACAATAATTAGCTTCATTTACATGCTTTTCCATTTAAATAGACCAACAAACAGATATTGTTTACTCAAAACCCCGGCTTTGCAGAACACACACAAAGCCACCCACAAACACATGCACACAAATCTGTGATCTGTACTTTCACTATATACACTATTTCTGACACAAGGTAAATGCCAGCTTGCTTACACGTATCTTTATCAGCAGTGCCACCATTTCTCCTTCCATCCCTGCTCCTATCTCCTTTCCTCCTTAATTACTTGTTGGAAGGTGTTTGGCTTTTCGCTGCACGCCTGCTGTTTTGGTCATTACAGGCCCCTGTAGGAAGTGGAGTATCTGCCAAAGAAGCTTAGCAGAAGACAGGCGCTGGGGATGTGTCTGTACTCACCTGGGGTAAATGAGGACAACTCTTCCTGCTGGCTTTGAGGCCTGTCTTTCCCTCAGGGGCTGTCCTGATGTTGAAGAGGGCCTGAAGAGCACACTGGGCCGCTTGGTTCTTGGCCAGCTTCTTGCTGCGACCGCAGCCCTCAAATATCCGCCCGTCCACGCGCACTGCCATCACAAAGCTGCGCAGCCGCCGGCCTTCAGCTCGCTCCGAAAGGCAGGCATAGCGCAGGCCCGGCCGGAGCTCATTGAGCAATGCCACAGGACTCTTGGCGGCCTCTGGCTCTGGAACAATACCACCCAACCTCTGTTGAGCCTGCACCATTAGGTCCAAAGTATGGCAAAGCAACCGTCCATGTCTCAGTAGCTCACTCGATAGTAGCTCGCTTTCTGCTGCTGAGTTGCAGAGCGAGAGGCCACCGGAGCACGGTGAAGACTCAAATTCCTTGAAGAGAGTGTCAGGGAAATCGGCCTGATCTGAAGTGAAGTCAGCTGAAGGGTTTGAGATGTTTCCCATGGCCAAGTGGGCCTGAGGAGCATTGGGGAACTGGATGAAGGATTTGAGGGCCAGCTCTGCAGCCCTCATCTTAGCTTTCTTCTTTGTAGGTCCCGTGCCCTCGAAGGTCAGCCCGTTCACCTCCACAGCGATGGAGAAGACAGGAGCGTGGACCGGGCCTGTCTGAGAAACCATGCGGTACTGGAGGCCCGGCCGGAGCTCATTGAGTTGTACCAAAGCATTCTTTGGTGCCTCAGACCAGGACAGTTTCTTATAGATCAGGCGGAGTTGACACAAGTGTCCGTTGTTGTCTTCCTCCAGTGGTCGTTTCCTCTTCAGACCAGAGCTCCCACTTCTTGCAGAGTCGGAGCAGAAAAGCGACTGGCACTCTGCAGATCCTATGGAGCGATCCTCTAAGTTACCAATATTACGGTTTTCCTTTACCTCTGCACTGCTTGTACCTGCAATAAAAACAGAAACAATGTGATCCAGAGCGATAAAAAAGACATCCAACACAGGAGCAAAAATAAAAGCAGTCATTACTGTGTGACACTCGCATTCATCCTGGCTGAACAAAATGGAAAATCTCCCAAGGCAGATTGAGCCACTTGATACACAATGAAATGGTAATGAACAAATCTACAATCATCTCTCTGAGCTGAGCACACTTCATACCACAGGGCTCTATCATATTTAAGTGTTTTAAAATCCAAATACAAATCCCCTAAAAATGGCGATGTTATCTGCCAAATCATTCTGTAATCTGCCTCCAAATTGGTTCTGAATCTGTGTTGTAAGTGGGAAACATCGGTCCCTGTGGCCAATGCAAAGCATCAATCCTATTTGTAATGGGGGTGGGGATCACATCGAGTGGCAGGCATTCCAAGAAAGGATGAAATGTCTGCAGCCCGCTTTATTTCACACTTCTATCCTCTGTGAGAGCAAAGTCTGAACAGCTGTGATACGCTCTTCAAACCTAGTTATGGGGAAGTGGTGGCGTATTGCATTTCTGATGGGAAATGAACAAAAATAGGGTGTTCAGATCTTGGAACAAGAATGTTAATGGGGGAGTGGGAGGCTGGGATCAAGTGCTGACATTCACTGGTGGGCTGAAGCAGATTGTAGCTCTAGATGATAGACATGTACATGTACGCCTGTGTACACTATCTAATGACTTATTTATCACGAACACTCAAATTTAATATTCAATAGCTCACTTTTATAAGATAATACAGATTTTAACACACAAGCTGACACCCATGCGTAATCAAATAGCCCATTTCCAAAATAATTAATTATGTGGGTGACAGAGAGATCATTTCCATATTAGGCCTGCCACTGAGGGAGTTAGCGCAGCGTGCTGACAGAGAGAAGGAAAAGATGCAGCAGCTTACTTAAACTGTCCTCGTCCTCTGTGCTGCTGGTCCCAGGGCTTATGTACTTGAAAGGAGCGATCAATGCTGACAGCATACTGACTTTCTCTGGAGGAGAGACAACAGACACGTAGAGTCAACAAGAGGGCAGCGGCAGAGATGTTTTGATAGTTTTATCGATTAAAGCCGCGGCTCAGTGTCGGCCCAACACGGGGACAGAGACGAAGCATAAGTGAGCAGGAGTATGCACACAAGACCCTTTCTCTGTCACCCCTGCATGGACCACAATGCTACATGCACACATAAGGAGGAAAAGACAAACTTATACACACACAAACACGGATAAGAAATTATGTGAAATACAATACACACTGGGCCTCATGCAAGGACATTTTCGTATTATTATCCTAATCCTTTTTTAATTTTTTCTGTAAGATTTGTGCATACAAGTCCAAATGGGATCCACCAAACTCTCTTTACTGGACAAACTTCTTGCTTGTGAGATCAGACACATAATCAACACCATTAAAACTGCCATATACGGCTGCCTGTTCCGCTCAGTTTGTGGCAAAAGTTCCACTTGAATGTTACCAAAGGCTAAAAAGAGCAGCGCTGCACTGTGACAGAAATAAAGAGGGAATGATTTAACATGCAGTTAAATAACTGACAGTTAAATAGTTAGCAGACTTCCCAGCATGCATTGTTTGGAAGTTCAAACTCTCCAGAGAGTAGCTAGAACAGGAGCAACTGCAGCTGTAAGATCTTAGTGAGAAATAAAGACTTTAACTGAGAAAATATAAAAGGAAATCAAATTTGTTTGTAATATTAGTGTGACCAAAGAGTTATCCTATGTTTACGCTGTTTAAGTTGAACCAGCTCAAAATGATTTATGATGAAGGAATCATGAGAGGTTGTTGCATGATGCCCATTGTTCTGTGTGTCACTTTTTATGGATGCATTTATTCACAATTAAATCACAAAAGGACAATTAGTTCAGTTTTATTTAGCTCTAATCCCAAACTGTGATAGAGCTGATTTTTTTTACCATGTTGTCAAGAACAATTTATTCTGATAGTAAATACAAAAAGCAAAATAATTGTCATTTAATATAACAGTAAGTGAACACTTGAAAAAAAACAACAATGCGAATGGTATTTTATTTGGATTTTTTTTGTTTGATTGGATCTTTCATACACACACACACACACACACACACACACACACACTTGCAACATCTTAAGCAATAAACTTTCTTTTTTTTTATCAGTGCTAACTTGTCGACAGTGGATTTCTCCTGTTTTCCCTGGGGCCTGCTGCTGTCCAGGTGTGCGTGATGTTTACAGTATGAAGCCCTATTAGGGCCATCGCTTGGTCTGGTGCACTCCATGCAGGGCTGAGCAGAATTGACAGACCAGTCTGGCTCCTTAATTACATCCCCTCTCTCTTCCCAACATCAACTAATGATCAATAAAAGAGAAAGGTAAGCGAGAGGCAACAAGAGGGAGGAACTGGAGGTGGACAGGAGAAGGGGGAGATGATGAAGTGGAGAAAAGCAAGGAGAGGAAAATGAGGTAAAATGAGGTAAAATGAGTTTATGTAGGCGTGTGGAAGGTTAGAGGGTGAGCGTGAGGTCAGGCTCTCCCTGCCCCTTTCCACCAGAGTCCTGAAGCAGCATTAAGGCCTGCAGGAGCAACAGTTTCAGAGAGCTAAACGCTGCATAAACGGGGCGCCACATTACAGTGCAATAAACATGTTTTGATAAGAGTGCAAGGTTGTGAATGAGCTCGGCCCCCGGTGCTCTCTCTCTCTCTCTCCTCAACAGCACTAGAGGGGCTCAATGAGTCACTCTGACACACATGGATACACTCTAAACACTGAGGCTGGAGCTGTGCTAGTCCTCGTGGGCCAACATCACAATACAAGCATTTGCATTCTGACCTAATTACGGACTAAAGCCCAACACAAGCAGCAATTTGGCCCTAAATGACTCCCTTGGCCAACAGGGTCATTATCCTGACCATTTTCAAATCAGTGTATATTGTTTTTAAAGCCCCTAAAGCTCTATTTACAGTAAAAAACATGGCTGTCTGGTGTGCTTACAAAAGTGGTAAAATTAGAGGTGTTTAAGGGGCTATAGGCCGCTACAGCATATCTTAGCTCATTCTTGCATTTGTACAACATGTTCCCAGTTGCTTTGTAGTCAAATGAGAAGACAAATGTTTACATCAAGCATGAAATTACAGGCAATTAACATACATGAGCCTGAGCTTTCACACTGTGGCCTGAAATGTCTGTAATGTATATTTGATAATTCTGTTTTGCCAAAGGGTCTACACCACCCACTCAACGGCAATTCAAAGAGCCCACTGGGCAATGAGATTCCAAAGCGGTGTGAAAGGTAAACAGATGAACACAGTTTGTACAAAAGGCCATGAGCTTAAAAATCAGACGCTGCTACAGCAGTGGTTCCCAAACCTTATTCCATAAACGACCCCTTTTACTGACATTTTCTGTAACTTTTTATACAATTCTGTCCATATTATTATGATGTATTTTTTGTTTAATTGACTGAGTTTAGTCCCGCTTTTCTGGTTATTTCTAGTGAGGCTATAGTGAGTAAGGTCATCCATGCAGAGGCTGCAAATGTCTACAGAAATTAATTTATTGTTAGTTTGAACATATGAGCCCGGTGGTACAGTTCACACCCCAAGGTGGACTGATATAGTCATTACTTGTTGGACATGACACTTTGTTTTACTTTTTACACAAGTAACAGTACTTTTACTTGAGTAAAATGTTCTAGTACTCCTTCCTTTCCTGTAAAGAGGAAACTAATTCTATGCACTATCCTCATTGATTGCTGCTGCGCTGGGCTGTATAACACCTTGAATGGACCTTTTTATTCTGTATTCAAAGGATTTTTATTTGGATGACAAAGTTCAGAGTCAGAATAGAGCTTTTCTGTATAGAGCTCTTCAGGTCTGAATAATTTCAAAGTAAACCTCAAAAACAATTCTTCTCACTTTCAATGGACCACAGTTCATTTCAAATGTCTCAGGAAGTAGCTATTGAGTGGAAAATATCATCATGTTTTCAATAACTCTGATGCTGAATCAACTGCGCAGTGGTAAGCAGTGCAGTTTAGAGGTCATCCTCGAAATGCCACCTCTTATCGTTTTTTGATAGGTTTGTGAAGCGCCGGCAAAAACACACTTCACCCTGATTTATGAGCGAGATGTGTATAACGTCAGAGGCAGTTTTGGTTAGTGGTTTACAGTATGTAGCGTGTTTGATTTTCCTAGAGAGATGCAGCATATTTTCAGCCTTGTAAATTAAAATACACTGCAGAGAGCTCATGCAGTCTGACGTTGTAGGATAGTAATACAACTGGTTGGCTGTATTGTTAGTTTTAAACTATTCTGGTATTACATTCTAAAGTCTAATATTAAAATTCCTCTGAACTGTCCTAAATGAAGCCAAATCACCTTATTCAAAATCATGTGGGGGGAGTATTAGTCACTTAAACAGGTTATCTGAGCCTTTAGGAGGTATAGGATAGTATGATAACAATGTGGCCAGAATGTTTTTCCAAAGAGTTTAAGTATCAACTGGTTGAGGATGTGGGTTTTCTTTGTGGTGATTATTGTGAAGATTGTATGTTTTTGAGTCAATATATACTTGAAAACTAAAGATTGTTGGTATGATTTAAGCAAGAGGAAGTCCATATGGCTGGCAGACTGTTAGACCACCTGAAAGCTCCTTTACACAGAAATCATGTGGTGTGTTGTCAGAAAATGTACATCCCTCAGACCTACAGTTCTACTTGTGTGTGTGTGTGTATGTGTTACTTAGTGGTGATAAAGAGCCTAAACCGTCTGCAGTGAGGCCAGCTTTGTGTTTCCATGTTTGTCACCTCCCGTGTACACTAACATCCCCCCAGTGACCTTACATGATACCAGAATTTGATTTGGGCTAATAAGGTGAATCTACTACTCACTTTAAAGCAGGGAGGAAAAATCTCGCCTGGTGCAAAGTTCATCAAGTGTACCACCGATCACTGCCGCTGACGTGGACATTGTTACCTTACATGCCCTTCACGGTATCTGTCATCCATCCCTTCTCATTCACCAGCCAGCCGAGTGGATGAGACAATGCATGCCAATAGTCTCGGCTCGCTACGTCCATCCCCCACTGCACCAGGACACGGTGAGAGGAGACGGCGCTCATTTGTTTCCACTGCACAAAGGCAGGGAAGGCAGGAGAGCCAGGTTAGATAGGGAGAGCCTTGGCAGATGGCCATACACTCCTGATAGTGACAACACTGGTGATGGTGTCCATTCACAATGAGCTGGAGAACAGTCTCTCTCACTCTCTCTCTCTCCTTGCACTTTCTATATCAGTTCTGAGGAGAGGGTAATGAGCCCAATCAGATTTCCCCATGGCTCAGCATAACGAATGGGTCAGATGAGCGACGGGAGACACTATTGAAACAGGCGCTGGGGGAAATCATTCTCTCTCTCTCTCTCTCTCTCTCCTGTCTCTATCTTTTTCTCAATGTCTTCCTGCAATCCTCACATTGAAAGCCACTGAGCCACTAAATGAGAGGTTGCATTGTTTCTCCACAGCACTTAAACCAGATTCCTGTCACTTCTCACATCTGATCTCTGAGCAAAAAGCAATGTAAAAATAGACCCTGACACACTAAGTGTCCTCTCCGCCGTTTCCATGACATGACTTTTCACTACCGAAGCAGCAGTACAACGTAACAAACACGTCTATGTGTTTTCTACGGAAGTTCAGAGAGGCAGAGAAAAAAAAACAGGTGATACTGAATTTTTGTTTGATCAAAATATATTTCTCCTCTGTGTTTGTGAACAGAACAGGTGAAATTACCACTTGTGTGTTTTTCGCACGTTTTTTCCCCACTGTAGATTCTCCTTTGTGCTTAGAGCGAGTTGCGATCTGCAGCTACACCACTAGATGCAACTAAAATCCTACACACTGGTCCTTTAAGTGGAATAAGACTTGTTGGACTAAGTGGTGAAGGGCTGTGACTGCACAGTATTTAGAGTTTAGATCTCACCTCCTATGTCGCTGTAGACATACTG